ACAATTGCACGGTCATGCAATGCTGTACATGAATGAAATTTATATCTTTTTCCCACAAATAAAGCTTTCTTTTAGTGGCATTTGATCACCTCTGTGTTTTTATTTGTTGCGCTATAAACAAAAAAAAGACCAACAATTTTGAAAAAATAAACAATATTTTTTACTTTTTGCTGTAAAACATATCCAGTAAAATACATTTAAAAAATCAAATGTCTTCATAAATTTAGGCCAAAATGAATTCTGCTACATGTCTTTGCTAAACAAAAATAACAATAAGTGTATATTAATTGGTTTACGAGAAAGCTATAACATCTACAAACTTATAGCGGGACCAGGGGCGGACTGACAAGTCCTGGGGCCCCCCGGGCAATAGGGGATCATGGGGGCCCCTGGGTCCTTGCCCAAACTCAAAAAAGCCTATGGAAAATGTACCAGGGGCATCTCATGGGGCCCCCTACTGACCCCGGGCCCACGGGCAGTGCCCGAGTTTCCAAATGGTCAGTCTCTGAGCGGGACTGCGGCTGGGCATTCTGACACTGGGTGGGAACTGACTAACTGCCACTGACATCCCCAGTGACACTAGTACAGTGATCAGTGCTAATAAAAAGCACTGACACTGTACTAATGACACTGGCAGGAAGGGGTTAACATCAATGACAATCAAAGGGTTAATCCCGATTAATCCGATCTATGGAGGCCCCACCTTGCAATTTACTGGACTTTAAAGATCTGCAACTTAGGGCTTGGTGCCAAATACCACAGCATACCTTCAGAGGTTTAGTGGAGTCCATGCCTTGATGGGTTAGGGCTGTTTTTGCAGCAATGGGGCCAACTCATTGTTAGGTGGGTGGTCAAAATGTTATGGTGGATAGTCATAATGTTATGGCTGACTGGTATACTGGACTCTATAAATCTATCCAAATTAAATCTGCTCAAACATGTTTACCTAATTGCAAGAATACTACAGCACTGTGGTGAGAAAGTGATTTAAAACCTCACTTTTATCAGAGTCCTAAGACCAGTAAAAAAAAAAAAAAGGTCGACTTACTGTCAGTTTAGGTTGGACAAGCTGGCAATGGACTTCATTTCCCCATGGCTGTGCTAAGATTACTAAAAATGATCTAGAACATGCTGTTATTCTTGCTCTAGATCAGTGTTTCTCAACTCCAGTCCTCATGGACCCCCAACAGGTCATGTTTTCAGGATTTCCCTCAGATGAAACAGCTGTGGTAATTACAAAGGCAGTGAAACTGATCAAATCACCTGTGCAAAATAATGGAAATCCTGAAAACATGACCTGTTGGGGGTCCATGAGGACTGGAGTTGAGAAACACTGCTCTAGATAGACACAACTGCTCTGAATTTTGACAAATAAAGTGGTTGTTTAATGAAGTGGGCATGTTTCCACAGGGAATGCAGCAGAGACCACCAAAATTACTAGTGATGTGTAAAGAATTAGATCCAGGTGTGTATTGGGGAGGTAAAGCATGAACAACCATGTGTTCAAATGCTAAACAGACAGCCAGATTTAGAAGGAATCCACTAATATAACCACTCTGAGAGCACAGCACAGGGGAAGGAGAGATGATTGCTAGGTCAGTACAGTTCATTCACACAAGACACCAACACATGGAGGGCATGAGCCCATTATGATTTCTAGTGGAGGTGTCATTATATTGATGTTACAAACCGATGGTTATCGTACTGCTATAATACTCAAATTTTACATTGATGTGGCTGATACAAACAATACGTTAGTTACTCATTGATAGTGTATCACCTCCACTGCTGGCTGTATCAAGGAAGATCACATTTAGATGAAAAAAATTCACGAGTTGCTGTAGGTTTTATAGCATATTGAATGTATACATAGATAATGCACCAGGCTAGAACACCACATTTACACAAAGTGTAAATAGCTATGTTTCAGTAGGTGGCAGATTGCTGATAATGGAAATATATGGGACTTGGGTTGACCTAAAGTCTTAGGGTCAAGTAGTCTGTCAGTATCCCTGATCACCGCCACACCTTTTGTATGATGATGTTGTACTGCTTTAGGGACAGTATGCAAAAAACAAAAATTGTATAAAAAAAGTATTTAATTTCTACATTTTCCAAAAAAACTCACCATGCCTCCTACTAAATACATCAGACTGAGTAATTTCCACAAAGGGGTAGTTCAGGGGGTATTTAAACTGGTAATTGGTGTGGTTGATCCATCAGCACCTCATCCCCAATCATATAAATCAAAAAAGAAAAAGTAAAGGTAAATGGGGTAAAGTGCTTTCTTACCCTCAGGAGAAATTACTCATACTCAATTTTACATAAAATGTATGTTATGTATATATTGTTATATGAATATAAAGTGAATTATCTGTATAAATCACACAATGTGTTTTTATATTAACAATGTACCCTATCTTGAACCTCTGACGAAGCGTATTCAGTGAAACACGTTGGGAGCTGACACCTTCCTCTAATCATCTTAACATACTATTACTATTACAGAATTATTTTAACTAGGAAGGTGTTTTAGGGTTCACTGTACTGAACATTCTATGCGTTATCATCCATTTATTGTTTTATGGGTGTTTTCCCTGGTTTAAATATTTTGTAATAAAACTTCATAAATTTTATGTAAAATTGTGCATGAGTAATTTTTCATGAGGGTAAGAAGCACCTCAAAAGTCCCATATACCTTTACTTCAGGGAGTATTTGTACTGTCCTGGCATTTTTAGGGCCTCAAAAATTAAGATAGGCCGACAGTACATCAGGAATGATTAATTTTCAAATATATATACCGTAGTTTGTAGACTCTATAATTTTCCCACAGACTAAATAATATACACTGATTTGGGTTATTTTTACAAAAGAAATGTAGCAGACTATATTTTGACCTAAATGTATGAAGAAAGATTATTTATTTGCAAAATGTTATACCAGAAATGGAGAAAAATTTGTTTTTTTTTTAACTTCACTTATTGCTCCAGCACTGTCCCGGCTGCAAAATTTCTCCTTCACTTCCTGCTTTAACAGGAGACACTGGCAGCATTGAGCCAGCCACAGGCTCCTGCTGCTGTCAAACTCCTGTGCGTAGGGTGTAGGGGGGCTGCTTACCGACATTGTCTGTGTCTGTAGATCTACACAGCCCGGATTGGAAACGTGCCCGTGCGGCTGCCCCCATAGCAAGCGGCTTGCTAAGGGGCACTCGTAGGAAGAAGGAGCTGATGGGGGACCACCAAAGTAAGGAAAGGGATCAACTCTGTGCAATAATCTTACACAGAGCAGGTAAGTATACCATCATTTTTTTGTTACTTTACAGCAAAAACAGTTCTTTTAGTACAATTTAAAGCAACATGACCACATATATTAAAGGTATAATACATATCTTTCCAATTTTCATTCTTTTGGACAGCTATAGCCATGCTGGTATCTGACACTTCTGGGTTTGTCAAATGCCATGCTCCCTGCTGCACCTATATCCCACTCCCTCCCCCCCCCAAAAAAAAAAATGGGCCACTCCACTGCTATTTACTTGTACAGCAAGCTTTAATTGTTTTAGAGCAACAACCTCCCACCAGTCACTAGGTCTTCCTCTGAAACGTTTCATCCTGAAATAAGGCTTAGTCATATATCCCCTACAGATGGAACCAAAGTGTGCAACGGTGACGGAACATCTAACAAAACTCAATGCGTCAGATACCAGCTGAAGCTGTAGCTCTGCCTATCAGGGTCTTTCATATCTCCTGTTCTGCCCAACTGTAAATCTAAACCACCATTGTTACTAGTGAGGATGTTACTCCATATTTATGATTACAATTATGACCATTATACACTGTTTGCTAACCTCAACTTGACCACCACAATGCAAGCCATAGACAACACAGCCAGCATTGAAAAAATGTTGCCACCATCAGGAAAGTTCCTTGGCTAGTTTCCGTCCTTTCAAACAAATGTACTATTGCTGGTCATGGATGCAAAAAATGCAAAAATTACTAATTTAAATGTTAGCTTTGGCTCTTATGGTACAAGAATTTTATTGGGTTTTATTATAGATAGAATACATAGCAAAATGATAAAGTAAATTCCAAAAAAAAATAAAACATAGAGAATTTACAGTTATAATGAATATACATATAATAGGTATACATAAAATATCAATATAAATATGTAAATAAAGTACAGGAATAAAAACTTCTTAATGATTAAATATTGTACCAAGAACCTGCAATAAAGATACACTATATTGCCAAAAGTATTGGTCGGCCTGCCTTTACACGCACATGAACTTTAATGGCATCACAAGTCTTAGTCCACAGGGTTCAATATTGAGTTGGCCCACCCTTTGCAGCTATAACAGCTTCAACTCTTCTGGAAAGGCTGTCCACAAGGTTTAGGAGTGTGTCTATGGGAATGTTTGACCATTCTTCCAGAAGCGCATTTGTGAGGTCAGGCACTGATGTTGGAAGGCCTGGCTCGCAGTCTCCACTCTAATTCAAAGGTGTTCTATCGGGTTGAGGTCAGGACTCTGTGCAGGCCAGTCAAGTTCCTTCACCCCAAACTTGCTAATCCATCTCTTTATGAACCTTGCTTTATGCACTGGTGTGCAGTCATGTTGGAACAGGAAGGGGCCATCCCCAAACTGTTCCCACAAAGTTCGGAACATGAAATTGTCCAAAATGTCTTGGTATGCTGACACCTTAAGAGTTCCCTTCAGTGGAACTAAGGGGCCAAGCCCAACCCCTGAAAAAACAACCCCACAACATAATCCCCCCTCCACCAAACTTTACACTTGGCACAATGCAGTCAGACAAGTACCGTTTTCCTGATAACCTTCAAACCCAGACACGTCTATCGTATTACCAGAGAAGCATGATTTGTCACTTCAGAGAACACGTCTCCACTGCTGTAGAGTCCAGTGGCGGCGTGCTTTACACCACTGCATTCAACACTTTGCATTGCACTTGGTGATGTAATGCTTGGATGCAGCTGCTCAAACATGGAGACCCATTTCATGAAGCTCTCTACGCATTTTTGTAGTGCTAATCTGAAGGCCACATGAAGTTTGGAGGTCTTTAGCTATTGACTCTGCAGACAGTTGGCAACTTTTGTGCACTGTGCGCTTCAGCATGCGCTGACCCCACTCTGTCATTGTATGTGGCTTACCACTTCATGGCTGAGTTGCTGTTGTTCCCAGTTGCTTCCACTTTGTTATAATACCACTAACAGTTGAGCGTGGAATATTTAGTAGCAAGGAAATGTCACGGATGGACTTATTGCACAGGTGGCAACCTATCACAGTACCACACTTGAATTCACTGAGCTCTTGAGAGCAATCCATTCTTTCACAATTGTCTGTAGAAGCAGTCTGCATGCCTAGGTGCTTGATTTTATTCACCTGTGGCCATGGAGGTGATTGAACACCTGAATCCAATGATTTGAAGGGGTGTCCAAATATTTTTTGGCAATATAGTGTATGTCAAAAGAGAGTTTGGTTTAATGCAACCTATTGAATAAATGAAGTATGGCGCCCACTGCCTACCTATAGATCATATATACAATTGTGCAGATCTATGTGTCCAATAACCAATACAACTGATACTATTAGTGATTGAAAAATACTGCATTCCGCTCCATGAGGACGTCGAATGACGAAACGCGTAGGGCGGGGCCTAATGGATGCGACGTCAGGACGTTCCTCGAAAACTGTCGGCTGGGTTATCGCAGTGAGCGAGGCTCTTCCCTGCTGTGTCTTCGGCTGTCATTGCTGGTGTCGATTCAGACACCTTTCTTGTGAGTTTACATCTGATGTGTAATAAAGTTTATGTTTTTAAAAAAAACGTATTGCACCATTATATTTTTTCTTGATTCCCCGAGCATTGCCACTATTCATGGAGAGATGATGACCATTTGATATTAAGGTTTGATTGGCTGATTGCAGTGTATTGCTCCCATACCTTGGATACCTCTAAAGGTCATCGCTTCCCAGAGCAATAGCTATTATGCTGATTTATAATTTGATCAGCGTATAGCTCTGGTTAGTTCATTCATTTCATTCGGTGGTGGATTTTTTCACTTTGTTTTATCCAAGATTTCAGAGTTGATTATCACTTTTTTTGGTGGTTGGACTTACACAAGAATTGTGGACATTATTTTGTATTTATCATTTATATATTTCTTTGTGGTATTCTGACACTATATTGTTTATTAGCGCATTCCTTTATTTATTTATATTACACACCTGTTTTGGGTTAGGTTTGCAGCTTTATTTTTGGTTAATATAATTAATTTATTTTGGCGCTTTTCTTATTATCACTACATTCCCAGTTGAGAATGTATTGTGGTTTAGAGTTGTTTTCAGGATTAAATAAAGTTGAGTATAGAAGGGAAATCAGATCAGTGGAATGAGGAACATTTTTGCATTTATTTTCAAAGGGAGCGAGACGATTTGGGCAAGTCTGAATGAGTATTCAGAGGTAGGAAGTTGCCAGTTTTCTTAGAGTTCTGAAAATGATTTAATTCCATCAAGGGTTAAAAGTACATGTATATACTTTATGCCTTTGTTTGACCATCATAGAAGAGCAGAGGGATTTTCAAATGCAGGAGGTGACAAAGGATTATTAATTATACCTGTAAGTGGAAGAAGTGGAGATATCAGTCAGCTTGAATATTTTGTAGAGTCATATTGTTTTAGGGACAACTGTAGATTAGGATCATCAATAGAAGGGTGAAGTTTTGGGGGGAGCTAAATTAGGTTATAGATTGGTATAGGAGAGCAGTTCAAAATGTTGAGATGGGTCCAAATTGGTAAGGTAGAAGTAGAATTAAGAACTATTAAGCTTGGCTTTTTATGAATTGGCCAAAGCAGAGAAATACAATGGGAAAATGGTGACATTTTCATTTCACACCTTCATGAATTGCCCTACTATTGTGTTTGTGAGGTTCACATGGCTCAAAGTCCTCAACATTCCTTGCCAAATATGGCATTCATATAGCATAGCATGCTACGTTTTGGAGGGTTCCATTGCACTTGAAAAGACCTTGAAAGGTATGTGCCTTCTTTTCATTAACGCTGGAATGTTTACTTTAGGATTTGAATAGGCATGACCCAAGTTTACACCCAAACCTCCCTCTCTTTTGCAGACGGTGTACAAATAGTATTTTTTATTTTTTTACTTTGACCTTGTTTCTGTGTGAGAAACAGCTTTTATTACTCCCTATGATGTCATCACCAGGCTTGCAAAATTATTACAAGGAAAGATGAATCAGCAGGATACCATAAATTAATTCCTATGTATGTAGACATGGCCCCCAGAACTACGTCTCCCAAGAGCCTTTTTCTTGCACACAGCATGTGGGCAGGCTCTTTGGAGTCAAAGCAAAGGCTCATTACTGGAAGGTAACTACCTTTCCATCTGCAGCTCATGTGTAACCCCCTTACTAAAGTTATTCAAGGGAGCAAATAGTCAGTATGGATAGTTATTGGAGTCCTTCTGCAGATACCATACACCAAGCTTGCAGGAACCAGTAATGAAAGTAGTAGCTGCTTTCAGAGAATATAAGGAATGTATGAGAATCATAGAATAGCATAGTGAGGTGACCCTTATGGTGCCTACTGCTAAAGGATAACTAGGAAACTGTGCCCATACTTGAGTTCATTCTTAAGGATTGCTGTGTTTCCTGTTCATTGACTGGCTTGCCACCTGAAGTAATTCTATGGGGAAGTAGTGGGTTTCCCTATGATGGGAAAAACTGATAAGTGCTGTCAGCCAGGAAACATTTTCATAAGGTACTGTATGTCCAGCACCCTGTCTATGTTCTGTTCAGGCTTGCAGAAAGGACACTGTAAAATCTTTTAAATCAACCTTTCTGTACCCCCTTCTTCTCTGTCCTTGGCAAGCAGCTTGCAGTCTTGTACCAAATAAGCAGCTGGGATTTATTTACTATGATTGAGAAAGCATTTGAAAGTGGATATCTAATGTTTAAATACAAAAGATTTTTCTAACCAGAAAGCAGTTATGTTTTGTTAATTTCATTGCTGTGGGAAGGGCAATGTATTACTTCCAGATCATGGTAAATTCAAACTAACCTGTTAGAAGTCAGTAAAAAAAATGAAAGCCAAGCTCTAACTATGCTATTTTTTTTTGGTGGGATCGACAGGCTTGGTGTCCACATTGGGACTTTTATCCAGGAGTCTAGTGGGAGATTTTGCCCACCTCTGCAGTCAGGGCTCTGAATCAACCTCCTACCTTCCCTCTAAGTGCATCTTCTATATTCCCATGGACAATCCTGCAGAAGGATAAATATAAAAGCAAAAGGTGTATCTCAGCTCTCACATCCATCCACTATGGCCAGATGTTGGTCTGGTTTGTCTTGCTTGCAAATAAATGGTGCAGGATGAAACTCTAATAAAAATGTTTTCCACAGTCGAATTCTGTAGTGAATCCTTCATATTCTTAATCCTACAGAGGCTATAATGCTAGGTGGCGTTCTAGAGTAGCAACCTTGGGTACCTGCTGATCTGACCCATTTTCACTGACATACTTATGTTTTTTTTAGTTCTTTATATGCAATATTAATAGAGTTTCACGCTGAACAGGGAGGCTTCTGCATTGTTAATGAAAAAGCTGATTAAATGATCATGCATTATGTGCAAAGGCCTGCTTTCCTGGGTGCTCGTGTGAATGTTTGCATGTAGTAACCAGGCAATAGCCATCATCATAGTGAGGAATCTGAAAGGCTAACTCATTACTGCCCAGCTGGTGATCACTATAATTAGAGCCTTGATTTGTCAGAAGGTATATACTGTATGTATGTCAATTCAAGATTTCCCCAGCACTTTATATAGCCAATCAGCACAAAAAGACCTAATTAAACATTCAGGTAAAATGTAGTATGTCTTTTTTGCATATATTTGCAACTACTTATGAAAGCCGAATGGCACATCAGGCATTTTAGCACAGTGTCATCCCTAACTCTAAATTGTATGAAGCTGGCATACACAAATACACACACACTATATATAAACTATTATAAGCCATACCAATTATATACTGTAGCTTATGTAGCACCCTCCTAATTTAGCTAGGGTGAACTAGATTCTTGTTGTAAGGAAATTGTCAGTAAGGAAGGCTGGGTAGTGGCCTGGGTGTGATAGCCAGAAGATCAAATCTTGGTCAGGAGCTGAGAGGCTATGCAGGCCAGCCCCTCTGGAATGTTTCCATGCTCTAGGGTCTAGAAGGAAGGCTCTAGAGACAGTAGGTGACTCTGAGGAGTGGCTGGTTGCACTCTTGAGGGATCCTGGTCAATCCCCAACAGGAGGTTGGAAAGGGGCCAGGGCACCCTTAAAAGTGTTGGAGCCTGCTCAGTAGGAGGGAGAGTGCTGGTGGAAGATGGAGAATTAAGGTTGAGGTGCAGGAGCCTGAGAGAGAGCCCAGGCTAGAAGGGGCTCACCTCCAGGCAGAGGAACCTTGAAAGGGGGAAAGCTGTGGACTTCACTGGCCCCCTGAGAAAGGACCACCTGGTGGCAGGGAACGAGTGGGCCCAACTGATAGGCCTGGTAGCAGCCACTGACCCAACTGCAGCACAGGAGAAGGACTCAATGAATACACCTTCACCCCCTAGGCCAGAGAGGGGAGAGAGCATCTGGGTGGGAAACCTAACTCTGCAGCTGGGACTATTGCCCTTCTACTACTAGATCCCCTGTCCAGGGATTCCTCCATACATTCGGATTGAGGAGCATTTGGAGTTGGAGAGGTACATTGGAAGATGCCGAATAACTCTCCAGAAAGAGGATGCCTCTGTAAAGACTTGTAATATAGTCCAGGAAATTTGTCCTCAGTTTCCATTCCCTTGGGCATCCCATACACCCCTTACCCCCATCCAAGTTCTACATCCCTAATAAAACTTCAAAACAAAGCTCAAGGAGTGGTTCTCTGTCTCATTATGCAAATCTAAAAATGTGTATTGCCTGGCTGTGCAGGACTATAGGGGGACCCAAATCTCTAGCAAATTCTAAAGGAGTAGTGCTACATTTAATCTTCCTAAAAAGGTATAGCAACCTACAGAAGCCTAGACTTGCTCAAGGCTTGCTTGATCACACCTAAAGTGTATCTGTATCAATTTATATGTACAGTATATACATACAGTAGTGGGCATGACCAAGCACTCTGCAAAACATAAACATAACATTTTTTTTTTTATACGTGAACAATGAACACATTCCAGGAGCCCCCTGTGCCTAGCATCTCAGCCATTTCTGTAGTCATCAGAAAGGAGAAAAAGGTCCTGGTCTCCCAAAATGTGTCTGCCAGACTCTGAAATTTATAGTATTTTGTCTATCCCTGTCTAGTAAGATAAATATTCAAATATTAA